AGTTGGCAAAGCCGACAAACCGCTGGACTTCCTTCCGATTGCGTGGGCTTTTCCAGTCCAATACTGCGCGAACCTTGGCGCTGTCCATGGCGAGCCCCTTGTCCGACAGTTTGTAGCCCAGGAAATCCACCTCCGTCATGTCGAACTGGCACTTCTCCAGCTTGGCGTACAGCCTGTGCTCCTTCAGTCTCTGCAGAACTTCCCTGACATCCCTCTCGTGCGCCTCTCGCGATTCCGAAAATATCAGGATGTCGTCCAGGAAGCATACGCACTTCTTGTAAAGGAGTCCCGCCAGCACATGATGCATGAAGGCTTGAAAACAGTGAGAGCCATTTTGTAATCCGAAGGGCATAACTCTGTATTCGTAGGTGCCCAGTGGCGTGAACATGGCCGTCTTCCACTCGTCACCTTCCCGCATGCGAATCAGGTTGTACGCCCCTCGCAGATCCAACTTGGTAAAAACGCGTCCTTTCCTCACCGTCGCGAGCAGGTCGTCTATTTTGGGCATGGGAAAGGCCGAGGGCTTGGTTTTCGAGTTTAAAATTCTATAGTCCACCACCAGTCTTTTTTGGGGCGTGTCCCGCTTCTTCACGAAGAATACTGGGCTGCCCCCCACAGCTTTCGACTCCCGGATGAACCCGCGCTTCAAATTGTGATCTATGAACTCCCTGAGTTCCTGCAGTTCATCCTCAGACATGGAATACAGTTTCCCGGTTGGCAGCGTCGCCCCCGGCAGGAGGTCAATCTTGCAGTCATATGGTCTGTGAGGAGGTAGCTTGTCCGCCTCCTTCTCGCAGAAAACCTCCAAAAACTCCGCATACTTGAGGGGCACTGCTTGCAGCGTGCCCAAATGTAACTGCGGGTCATCCCCTTCCCCTTCTGGGCTGGGTATAATGCAATGTTCCGCACAGTAGGAGGAGCCAAAAGTCAGTTGGCGTTGGTACCAAGCCAATGCTGGGCTGTGCCTGTGTAGCCAACTCATGCCCAATACTACAGGCGTGTCCGACAATTGGGTGACATTGAAGCTGATGACTTCCCGGTGATTCCCAATTTGCATCACCATAGGTGGCGTCTGCTGTACCACCTGCCCCCCTAGCAGTTCCCTGCCATCCACCGTGACCACCTTCAGGGGCAGCGTGGCTGGCAGTAGCGCTATGTTGTGTTGTTGAATGAACTCCAGTCCTATAAAGTCTGCATTACTGCCAGAGTCAATCGTAATAGGCACTTCTAAGGTGAGTCCATTGGGCAGCTGGAGCGATGCGGTGAGCTGCACCACTGGTTTGGGCGGGAGGGGGTCCGTGGGCTGCAAAATCTCTGGGGACTTCTTCACTGACTCGTCTGGCTGGGCCCCAGTGCCTCCGTTTCCAGCCAGACTCCGTCGTTTCCCTGCTGTGGTTCTCTCTGCTGAGTGGCTTCCATTACTGTCACTGAAGCTGCAGTGTGCTTGTGGAGCCTCTGGGGACACTCTTTCGCCATGTGCTGTCCACTGTCACATATATAACACTTCCTGTTCCCTCTAGGCGGCTTCGTTTTGACTGCTCCCGGTGTTAGGGCTCTGGTTGCTGAGTGAGCCCTAGCACCGCCAATCTCCATCGGCTCTTCGCCCCCTCCCTGTGGAGGTGTGGATTGCGCACGCGCTGCATCCCTGGGCAAGAGGGGGGGTCCTCTCGCTGGTGTGCGTCCCCAACGCCCTTCTTCTTTGCTCCATGGGCGTTCTTCCAGCCGCACCCCAACCGATAGCGCTTTCTCAACCACTTGCTGAGTGCTTCTGGGTCTTTCCCCCCTCGCAATCTCATCCTTGATACTCGGGCTCAATCCCTCCCAAAAGAGGTCTCTAACCGGCGGAGAATCCTTATCCCAACCCAGCGCGTTGACCAATGCAAAAAAGCGGGAATGATACTGCCTTACGCTGGCTCTCCCTTGCCGTAGCCCATGTATGTCCTTCCGGGCAATGTCAATGTCTATGTTTGATAAGAAACAGGAATCCATCGCTTTAATGAATGCATCTGCACTTCGGAGCGCTGGATCCTTATCTCTCCACAGATTGCGCAGCCATGCTTTCGCGTCCCCATGCAAATGGGACAAGATAAACCCCACCTTCTCTTGCTCATCTCTAAAGTCTTTCTCCAGCAGTTGCAGCGCAAACAGCACGTCTGCTCTGAAATTGGGGTACTGCTGTAAATTCCCATCGAAATGAGATACAAGGCTGCATCCTCTCTTCCCCAACCCAATCCCCTCGGATCTGGGTCCCGGTGGCCCCTGCCTCGCAAGCACTTCCAACCTGGCTTGAAGATCTTTGCAGGCAGCAGCCGCTTCTTCTTCTCTCTTCCTGGATGCGAGTATCTCCGCGCTGAGTTGTGTCACCGCTTCTTGCAGGGAAGCTATTTGCTGTTCAGTAGTCATCTCGCCTGACTCTTGTGAGCTCGCAAAGCACCAGCCTTCTTCCCTCCCTGCTTCGCTCCCGTAGCGACGCTTAAGGCGAAGAAAACTGATGAAAATGGAGACGGAGCTTACTGTCAGAGACTGCCTCCAGGTCCCAGCTCACAGAGGACCAACGCTAGCCAGTTGAACTGTACAAAAGTCTTTATTGAAGCATAGTTTCCATGTTCAAACCCTAGCGTGCATCTCTACGTCTAGAGCCTAGACCGACGAAGCTCCGTCTGAATCTCCGCCCCCTGTACACCAGCTTAAGACTCTAGCCTTACTCCACCTTTTCCGTCTCTCCTTACGCCTCTGGGTCCTACCACCCCCCGGGGTCCCTTCCTTCCTGGACGCTTCGGAAGCGGACCCCTCGGACTCTTCGCCCTCCCTTCGGCGGGCTTTAGGACCTGGCTCCCTATCCGGGCTGCTCATTGCGCCACCCTCTTGTACATTTGAACTTGGCGCGCGCGCGCTGCCTCCGACCTTCCTTTTGACCGTTTCCTCACTCTCTGATGCAGGCGTGGCTAACCCTGACTCATGTCCTTCCGCTGACGGAAAGCTGCCTGATGCCGATGCCTGGGACTCCTCCCCCCTACTGCTCTCCGGTGGGGCAGCTGGTCCCGATTTCCAACTGCTGCTCTCTGAGTCCCCTCTGGCCCCTCCTTCCTGGGGTGTTCCCTCTGGCAACCCCCTAGCTCTGACCACGGGAGCCCCTTTCTGTGAATCCTCCGATTCGCTGGAGAGACTTAGAGACCTCGGGCGGCTATCATCGCTAACTTCTCCCTCGGATTCCTCCCCCTCGGTCTCTAATTCCTCCCTCTCCTGTCCCTCTGCTCCTGAGCCCCTGACAGTAAGCAATCAAGTCATGTTGGCCCCAGATCAGAGACGGCCGTTTAAAGTACAGACGGATGCTAGTCAAAGTGGTTTGGGTGCCGTTTTGTTACAAGAAGATCAAGAAAAAAATTGGCGTCCCGTGGTTTATCTGAGTAAGAAATTGATAACCAGGGAACAAAATTATTCTACCATCGAGAAGGAGTGTTTTGCTTTGGTCTGGGCTCTAACTAAATTGCGTCCCTATTTGTGGGGTACTTCCTTTGAGGTTCAGACTGATCACTCTCCTCTGTGTTGGTTGGAAAGAGGAAAAAACTCTAACCAGAAATTGGCCAGATGGAGTATGGCCTTGCAAGATTTCCAGTTTAAGGTCACTCATATTGCTGGAAAAGAAAATGTGGTTGCTGACACTCTGTCTAGAATGTACCAATCTGTTCAATGAAGTGTAAGATATGTATTACCTGTATCCTCGGATGAGAATTCATTGTCTTGAAACTGTGTAAATATTGGATTAAGGGGGTGCTGCTAATTATGTATGTTCAAAAGCTGCTAGAACCCCCTGGACCAGGAAATCTACCTCAGTGTAAATAGTTGAATGAAATTACGGGACTTCACCCTGTTATTTCATCTAGAGGGGAGGGTGTAGTAAAGTAGACATAGTTAGAAAATCATTCCTTGGTCAAGTAAAAGAATGTGGCCTTGTGGGTACTTTGTCAGCCGTAAGGACCCTGGGAAAGGGAGCTGTGTATCTTTAAACCCAGACTTTTTGGCTCCTTGCCATGAGAGGTTTATGGGAGGAAAGGGGTCCTTGATTAATGGAAGATTTGACACCTGGGCTGGTGGTGTGAATCTCTTCCTCCTTCCTGGAGGTTGTTTGTTTTCAAATTGCTGAGAATTGGGGATCTGGTTAATTTCCACAGGTGGGAGGAAGATTCTTTGATTAAGGGTTCAAACCTAAAACTGACCCAGCTGTAAAAGAATGAGCTGATCAAATTAAGACTCCTGATTGGCTAAAAGTTACGACGCAAAGTCAGAATTGTGGATAAAAGATCAAGGGATGTTTTGTTCGAGGCTCTCTGCCATTGCTTTGCAACTTGCAAAGATGCCCGGCTGTATCTTCCATCGATAGCCGTCGTTACGTCCTTTTGAAATGGAAATCTTCAAACAGCTCCATTACGCAACAGCTTGAAAGGACTCTCACTAATTTATCTGTGTTCCTTTGTGAGTATGTAACAGCTAGTTATAGTGTACAACGTTGTTATTTTATGTTTGTAAGACTTCTAAGATGTGCCTGTTGGTTTTCAACATGTGTTCAGTTATTCTTTTAAAATAAACTTTTAAGTTAGAACCTGTTGGTATTTGTGCCTTTTCCGGGGGAATAGCTAAATCCAAGCCTTCTGCTTAGTCACGCTATACCGAGTGAATTTCTGCCTGCAAGCCTGTGGATGCAGCTTGTGAGGGAGGGGGAATTGCCAGGTTAATCGGACACCCTCTTCTCCCTGGGTGGTGTCTTTGGGTCCCCCTGAACAAAAGGGAGTGGTGGCAGCCCTACCGGTGTGATTTCGGCCTGTGTTTGAGAAAAGTAACTCCCTCGCCAACCTACTCAAGAAACCTGGACTGGCCGGAGAGCAGAGTCGGGTGATGGAGGGGTAACGTGGGCGAGTGGAACGTTACTACAGTAGCACTGCCTTCTCTTGGTGCCAAGGCCTCTGTTGCCCTCCACCACTTCTGACACATTTGTAACAGCAGCCTAGGCAAAGCCTAGAGTTGGGCCACAAGGCCAGCTGGCAGTGCTGGACAAGGTCAGTTATGCCAGTGTTCCATCGCCATGGAAACAACCCACTTTCCAACGATGCCCGGTGGTTGTCAGCCAACTGTAGCTTCCTGTGCATTTTCTACAGCCTCTCCTCTGGTCATCACGGAGGTGTGCCAGGCAAGAGTTGGGGGATAAGAGAGGCAAAATCATAGCACCCAGGTTAGTGAGACATCCACTGGTTTGCTGCGTTTGTGGGAGTCACTCTATTTCCACACAAGAACAACTGCAGTCCTAGGCAGTCCACAGGAATCCCTTTGAACTCCAGCCCAACCATCAATTGTGAGATTGAAGACCATTAGACCTAGTGCTGCCTTCTCCTGTGGGGAGAGGGACAGAGAGCAAGGTTTTGACCTCTTTATGAGAATGGCCCTTCAAGTACCTGAAGGTTGCTCTCCTGCCTCTCCTCCCCAAGTCTACAGCAGACTAAACAAAGCCAGTTTCCTCAACCTTTTCTAATAGGTTTTGCACATCTTTGACCAACTTTCTTCTCCTTTTCTGAATCTGCTTCAGTTTCTCTGTTACAACCCTACCTAAAGTGTGGTGGTGCTTACAACCAAGCCCGGTCCTCCAAATTATGTCTGAATAGTTCAGAATAAAATGGAACTGTGAAACAGAAACTGCTTCTGCTCCTAGAGCTGGAGCTCCACTTTGCCTCTTTCCCCCATTCCATTACACGGTTGATTAGGGACCGGGGTGTGGGGTGTGGGCGGCATTGTGGTCTAAACCACTGAACCTCTTGGGCTTGCCAATCAGAAGGTCGGTGGTTCAAATCCCCAATTCCAATAAAGGGGGGGGGGGAATGCATTTTGCCAAACCCATTTTTTAAAAAGCTGTGCATGAATCCACAGTGTAAAAAAGGTAAAGGACCCCTGGACGGTTAAGTCCAGTTAAAGACGACTCTGGGGTTGCAGCGCTCAACTTGCTTCAGGCCGAGGGAGCCAGCGTTCGTCTGCAGACAGCTTTCCGGGTCATGTGGCCAGCAGGACTAAACCGCTTCTGGTGCAACAGGACACCGTGACAGAAACCAGAGTGCACGGAAACGTCATTTACCTTCCTGCAACAGTGATACCTATTTATCTACTTGCACTGGCATGCTTTCAAACTGCTAGGTTGTCAGGAGCTGGGACAGAGCAACAGGAGCTCACCCCGTCGCGGGGATTCGAACTGCCGACCTTCTGATCAGCAAGCCCAAGAGGCTCAGTGGTTTAGATTTCCATATAGTTAACTCATATGGTTCAGAAGAATATTCTCTGCTGAAAAATTTAGGTTTTTTTCTGAAGTCATATTTATAAAATCCAGCACTTTCTCCCAAAATTAAGTATAGAACACTGTATAAACATATGTTTCAGGGAGGCATGGTCCTTAACACATCTCCAGCATAAAGCAATCTTAGCAAATCATTTTTTATACAGATGTAAAGGAGTCCAATAGATTCTAAATATTATGTTCTGCTGTATAAGTCTTAAGTTAAGATCCTTTGATACCATGGGTATAGCAGCTAAAATACTTTCCCATTGTCTAGGTAATATTGAAATTTCTAATTCTTTATTTCATTCATTTCTTAAGATCTGGATATCAAACTTATTTATGGTTAGTAAGTCTCTATAAAAAGTAATTGCAGGCTTGTTTTGTTTCAAGTGAATTACTCAATTGCTCAGTATCACAGGTGTCTCAGAAATTGAGAAAGTTGTGGTCCACACAGACTTGTTAGGAGATGTTGTACCTGAAAGTACTGCCACTGAGCCCCATCTTAAAACAGCATAAGTATAAAACTCATGTTCCTCATCTATCAGTTGGTCCAGAGGTAATATACCTGCTTCCATCCAGTTTTTCCATATTACCATCTTTTAATCAATTTTAATATAAGGTTTCCCCACAACGTTTGGCATGTGAGTATGGATCAAATTGATTTGTATCATCAATCTCCTTTATTGGCATTTAAAAGTGCCAGATTAACCTGGCGGTGCAGTTTTGATATTGCTTTCATTGTGGAGCAAAGGAGCCAACTTCTAGGGGCCAAGGTCCCTTCAGCTCACCGTAAAATATTTTAGGGAGCCGAATCCCCCCAAAGTTGATGGACATTGTCATTCAGATGCAGGATTGCTATTATGTTATGTATTTTGTGTTTTTATGTTGTAAACCACCCTGTGATGGTTGGTGGTGTATAATTTTAATTAATAATAAGAGAAAATAAGAAAAGTCTAAAGGGATGTATGTTGGGGGGGGGAATCTTAATTTCACACATAGGCTAATGGGGTCTGAACTGGCACTGGTGAACCAAGATCAAGACTGTGGGGGTCACAGCAGGTAGTTCCATGTATTTGTCTTTACCTAGTGTGCATCCATGCTAGAGATCAGCTAGAGATCATTAGGAAAGGAATTGGAAGTAAAACTGCCAATTTCATATTGCCATTATACAAATCTATGGTGCAACCATACTTTGACTACCGGTCACTCCCCTCAGAAATGATATTTTAGAGTTGGAAAAGGGAAAGCAATGTGATCAAAGGAATGGAACAACTCCCCTATGAGGCAAGAGTTTGGGGAGCTTTTTAGTTTAGTAAGAACAATTCAACTTTTACAGTAACAATAACAATAATCACATTTGGCAGTGTCTAGAACCCGACCCCTTAGCCCAAGATGCCACCAAAGAAGAAAAACACCAAACCGAAGAAGAAAGCCAAGAAGAAAGCCAAGGATGCAGCCAAGGGGCAAACAAGTTCTTTGCCATACGTCAGTGAGAGGGAGATATACCTGCAGAAGGAATTTGAAACCTTGACAGAGCACATCAAAACATACACTCAGCGTGTGAGGAACTTTCAGTGGGAAAACGAGTTCCTGGACAAGGAAGCCCAAAAGATCCGAGATATCAACAAAGTCTACATCTCCTACATAAACAGACGCACCCTCCGCAACCAGAACGCCATCATTTCTCTGAATGACCAGAATCTCTCAGACTTAATCCAGATCCGGAAGCAGAAGGCAAAGCTGACGACTGAGTACCAGGAAAAGGAGAGGGATGTGAGGTCCCAGCTGATAGAGATGGAGACAAAGCTCTCCCTCGTGAACAAGGAAATTGAAGCACTGCAGCCTTACCAGGAGCTGCAATTCCAGCAGCTGACGCGAATCCGGGACCTGGAGAAGGAGCTGCTGGTCATGAAAGTGCTGCACACGGAGCAAATGCACAAGCTCAAGAGTGAACATGTACAGCAGGTGACAGACTATGAGATGCAAGCTCAGCTGAGGATCCAGGCTCTGGCGAGGCTGGCTGAAAAGGAAGCAGTGCGCAGCCTCATCCGGCACACTAAGCAGGTGAAAGCTGACAACCGGCGCCTGCGTCATGAGCTTGTGGACCTCATCAGAGAGGCCAAAGTGCTGAAATCCATTGTGCTCCACCTGAAGGCGCAGCAGCAGTTGCTGCTGCGAGAGCACCAGTACAGGCAAGACCTTGCCCGCTTGCGCAGGTGGCTTAGGCATCGAGGGGCTCGGCTGCTCATCCCCAGTGGCACCAGCTTCAGATGTACCACACCGGTTAGGAGCAGAGTCATTGCCACGCAGGAAATCAGCTCCAGGTTTCTCACAGGCGGGGAACAGGTCCCAAGGTTGCAGCCAGGTGTCCAAGAGGCTCAAGAGAGCTTGCCATTACTTACGATTCCCAGTGCCTCACTCCCTACAAAATACCAGTGAGCTGGAGCTGGAGATTGCAGCTTCCTGTTTCTCCTGCTTTCACTACCAAGAAGGTATATGGATAAGGTAACATACCCCTTAAACATGTTCCAGGGTCAGTCCTGTGCTGCAGGCAGTCCAGTCATACAAGGTGCATCTCATGCCAACCAGGGTCCTCTTCCACAGAGCCAGCTAAGCCCCAGGCCCTGTGCAGCTGCTAAGCATCCCTCACATTGCCTCGAGATGACACCCTTGGTCCCAGCACCTGGCCCCAGGGCTGAGTTGTCCCACTGCTACCAGGCAAGCACCCGGAGGGATTGTGACTGCTGCTGATTCCCAGGTCAACGGCCAAGTCAAGATGGCAACAGAAAGGGGCAGAAGCAGTGCCAGGCACACAGCCCTCCTGTCAGCAGGGGAGGGCAGCAACATCGCTGGTCTTTGTGCAGAGTTTTAAATGTTTAGCTTGTTGGTTGTCTTAGTGTTATTTTTGTTCTTACTGTTTTGTTCTTGTTGTAAGTTTCCTTGGGAATTTTTGTGCTAAAGTGTGACACAGAAATATATAAAATAAATGTCACTTTCCCAGCCTCTGTCTCCTTGGTGACACATTGATGGACACCTAGTCTGGTTAGGGAAAGGATCTCAGAAACAGCTTTGACTCAGTAGTGCCGGTGTTCAAGTGTGCCTACTCCCAAACACAGAGGCTTACTTCTGATAGCACACGCCCAGGCCTCTCTCCTTAAATGCAGGTCCCAATGTGCACAGAAGGGTGTTGTAGGATTGCAGCCTAAAGGTGCCAGGTGCAAACCCTTCCAGGTCTCATTTTGACAGCCCCCAAGTTTCCCAGTGCAGCAGCTCGTTTCCTAAAGAGCCTGGCCTCAGCCCCAAGCAGTAGAAGCCCCTGGGTTAGTCAGGGGGCTGGGAGCAAGGCAGTGGCATCTGGCTCAGCCTGGGCCTAAGAAGACGGGGGGGGGGGGAGGTAACACCCAGATGCCAGTCTGACCCCATCCCATGAGTGTGCAAAACACTTTGGGCACACTCAGTTTAGTTGAATTACTTGTACCTTGCTTTTCTATTAAAATAATAACCAAACAGCTAACAATTAAAAAGAAAATTCAGTGTAATGGAGGAGCAATTGATTTCCTGTGGGAAGTTTGTGGTTCACTATTGGGGCATGTTTTTTTCCTGGACATTGTCCCTCTGCACACACACAAGCAGTTCAGAATCCAGATGCACCAACACCCAGAAATGCTGCAGGCGGGGGTGTGGGGACAGCTCCAGCTGTTCAGCCTTAGAGCAGAAATCAAAATTGTTGCATTTATTCCCCTCTACAGCAGATAACCAAGAAAGAGTCCTTTCTCATGGATTATTTTAAGATGTTTTTAAAAGACTCCTTTTATTAAAAACCCTTACAAGAAGAATAAGTCCACAGGCTGTAGCCATGGGCACAGAGAGGAGAGTGCAGAAAGGCGTTGGCAGGTGGCCCAGGACCCCAAAGGCACACAGGGAGGAGGGTCAGGGGTCTCAGCCAGCACTTTCTCTGTCTCTGGTGGTTCCCAGAGTGGTTTTACACTCAGGGCTTGAAATGGGGAAGAGAAGCAGGTCTTAGTCAGGGGAGCAGAGACTGTGCTGCAGCAAGAGCACCCTGCTCAACTGTCCTGAGTGGCAGGGTAGGCGGTTGCCCGTCTTCCCTCCCTCCACCTTTCAGGCCCTGGGCAGTTGCAGGATTGGCTCTGCAGTTTGGGAGCAGGCTGAGCTGGGCTGGGAAGGTCAAAGCTGCTGGGTGTTGAGGTCTATTGCCTGCTGGCAAGTGTCTGATACAGGCAGACTCTGAAGAGCAGACTTGCAGATGGTCCCATAGGACTGGGAGTAACTGCCCAGGCAGGCCTTTGGGTCCCCAGCCATTCCCACGTTTGCTGTAGCCCGGAACATCTTCTTACTGGGCTTAAGAAATGAGCGAGCTTCCCTGCTGTGGACCTCGGAGCTCCTTGGATTCTGCAAAAGAGACAGGAGAGCTGTGGGGGCACTGCAGATGGGAGCAGGAACACTTGGTGGGACGGGGAGCATCCCTCAACATACCATTTGGGACAACTGGAAAGGTCTGAGCTGAACCCGGAGTCTCTGAGCTGAGACTCAGCCCCTTTGCTTCCTGACCAGTCTTGGACTGGAGAGCTGGAGCTGGCCAGACAGCTGCACCTTATAAGCAGCCCAGTGTCAGAGGAGTCAGCTGCAGCCACGGTCACGGCTGGAGTCCCAGACCTGTCAAACCGGTTGCTGCTCCACGTAGAGGAGCATAGTCTGCCTTCTTCAGTTCCTCACCCCTGCCTGCTTTGCACAAAGCTCTCCCAGCCTTAGAAGCCATCAGGAATCAACTTGCAGCCTTTCCCCAGATCCACCTGTAGCCCACCCTGACTGCCCACTCCACCTGCAGCCCACCTGGCTGGTTGAGCTCTTGGTCTAGCGGCTCCTTTCACACAAGGACCCCAAGCTAGGAACGAAGTGTTGGGGGGGGGGCAGGAAAGAGGCTCCATTTCACTCACCAGGCCAGCAGCCGCCTTCCTGGGGGAGCCCTCCTTCCTCATCAGGTGGTGGTGAAGAGCCGCCTCCTGGGCTTGAGCACACAGTGAAAGGGGCCTGGGGAAGGAGGCTGCCTGGCCTCTCCCCACCTCCAGGCCTTTGGGCACCTGCTGAAGCAAAGCAAAGCGGAGTCTGAACCCTGCCTGACTCAAGAGTAGAGAAGGGGGAAGCAAAGCAGCTGCAGCAACTGGGAGGAGATTTCCCACAACAACGGCCATCACTGAGAAAGGATCAAGCTGCCCCTCGCCACCCACACACCCTCCTGCCACAAGGCAGGGATGCTTCATGACCCCCATGCTGCAGGTGGGGCCATGTGCTGGGGCAGAAGGGCTTTGGAGAAGCGGCTTGGCATTTAGGAGGCAGTGAGCCCAAGAGGCGGAGACCTCATTGCATCTCCCTTGCCTCTCTAGCATGGTAGGGGTGGGGTGGGGGAGAGAGGGAGGCAGGTGGGCTCATTCTGCAGCAGCTGGAGCGTCAGTGTTGCTGGAGAGCTGCTTTGTGCGTGGCTCCTGCAGCTGGCCGCCTGCTCTGAAGGGGCAGCACTGGAAGAAGGGGAAGATAACAACCAAGTTACTCACGCCATGGATAGTCTGAGGAGCTGCTGCAGGGGGTGGGCTGCTGGCTGGTACGGCGAGCGCCTGCTTCCCCACTTTCTGGCTGAGGGCAGCAGCCGGCTGCTGCAGGAGTGGTGCAGAGCGATTCCTGGCCAGGTTGCTGGGAGCCAGGCTATGTGCTGAAATGAGAGAGCCTGAATCACAACACTCAGGAAGGAAAAGGCCACAGAGAAGGCTCAGTGCCCCAGGCAGACTGGAATGATCCACCGGGGGCTGGGGGAGGCTCCTCTCTTGGTTCTCCATTGGGCACCACCTTTGCTATTTTGGCAAAGGACGATGGCATCCAAGCAACTTATTCTGAGCACGCCTGAGCAAAGGTCCTTCCTGGGCTGGCAGAGGAAAGATGGGGTGTCTTGGTGGTCAGCAGGAACCCCAAGATCTTTGTAAGGCAGATCAGGCAACCCAGAAAGCCAAGCCAGTGGGGAAATCCCTATAGCATTATTTCACTTTTAAAATTTGCACTCTGCTAACATACACACAATTGAATTATTACACTAAACAGAATAAAAGGACGAGATAAAGCCTGCCAATCAACTCATCACAGCCTGTCCTGCCAGAACGCCCACCCTGAGCTCCTCCTGGCACTAGAGATGCCCAGACAGGACAAGTGCAAGGCTTCCTGAGGTGCAGGTGTTCTTTTTGCACCCACCCACCCCAGGCACCCTCTGCTCCTGGTCTCCTCCTTCCAGTGAGCCTTTCCTACCCTAGAAGGCAAGCCAATTCTGTCAGTTTGCATTTCTTCGTGCAGAAAGTATGGATCTCATTTGTAAAGATCTTTCCTTTTTTTGTATTCTGATTAATTCTAGAAGCTACTAGAAGCTTCTCTGTGTGTGAGAAGAAGAGGCAGAAGGGTTAATGATTGTTTGGGTTATACCTTCACAGAAGCTGAGTACAGCTGCTTTGAATTAGTTCTCTTCCAATTAAGGTCATGCTGACTATAAATATAGGCCAGAAGGAGCCTGGGTTTTACTCTTCTTTTCTCTTCTCTCTCTCTTCTTTCTGGTGTGGTGTTTCTGTTTCTGTACATAGGATGCTTAGTGCTAAGGTTTAGTCTTATTACGAGCTAAGTTTATAAATGCTGCAACTGGATTTTGCATGGACTGAGCTAATCCTGATTGTATTGGATTTGATAACCATTATGCTATATTTGCCTTCAGCACAAGGAAAGCTCTGCTGAATGAAGTACTATTGCCTCTGGTCTATTTTGGGGAACTCTGCAACGTGTTTAAGGTTTTCCTCCACAAGTATGACACACGTATGACAACGTATGACAAATTCCTCCCTCAATAGCCTTTGACTAGTGGGAGTCCTGGGACACCGCTCAGCTGCCCTCCTCTATTTCCTGGCCTCACAGAAACCCTGCGGCTGGGGGCTTTTCAAGCACAACCTCGTGGTGGAAGCTGGCTGGGGACGGCTGGAGCCCCACAGTCCTCCGCCTCTCCACCCGCCTCTCTCAGCGATCTCACAAGAGGCTGGCCAGCCTCGCAAGCCGGAGGGAGGTGCTCTGGGGCACTGTGTCCTTCCCATTCACCCCAGCCAAAGGCACAGCTGCAAGGGACACCTACCATGGCTGGTCATGTGGCTGGCGGGGCTGCCCAGGGGGTGTGTGATCCCTGGCCTGAGGCGGCCAAGGCTCCTGGTCTCCTTTGCCCTCTGCTGGGAAGCTTCACAAGGTGCCAACAACTGGGGGGAGCCCCTTGATGGGAGGGGCGGTGACACCCCTTGTGCCTCACAGCGCGTTTTGGGAGGGGGACTGGGCTGAAGGTTCTCATTTTGGGGCTGCTGATGCTTCTGAGGGTGGCGGTTCCTGGCCTTCCTTTCCAAGATCATCTGCAAAGAAGAAGATCTGAGCAGGTTTCAAATCACTAGAATCATAGAATCCTAGAGTTGGAATAGACCCCAAGGGCCATCGAGTCCAACCCCCTGCCAAGCAGGAAACACCATCAGAGCACTCCTGACATATGGTTGTCAAGCCTCTGCTTAAAGACCTCCAAAGAAGGAGACTCCACCACACTCCTTGGCAGCAAATTCCACTGTCGAACAGCTCTTACTGTCAGGAAGTTCTTCCTAATGTTTAGGTGGAATCTTCTTTCTTGTAGTTTGGATCCATTGCTCCGTGTCCGCTTCTCTGCAGCAGCAGAAAACAACCTTTCTCCCTCCTCTATGTGACATCCTTTTATATATTTGAACATGGCTATCATATCACCCCTTAACCTCCTCTTCTCCAGGCTAAACATGCCCAGCTCCCTTAGCCGTTCCTCATAAGGCATCGTTTCCAGGCCTTTGACCATTTTGGTTGCCCTCCACTGGTATGGCAAGAGCAGATAAGAACTTTCTTTCGCTGGACGGCAGGTACAGAAATGCATTGGCAGTGGAATGCAATGAAGGAGAGGACAGGCAACCATTCCACTGAGCAGAGAGGGGACAGCCTAGATCAGTGTTTCCCAACCTTTTTTGGGCAAAGGCACACTTGTTTGATGAAAAAAATCTCGAGGCACACCACCATTACAGCCCCGTGACGTCAGCGCGCAGCGTCACTTG